AAACTCCTGGAAGATAATATAGGTAGTACACTCTTTGACATCGAACTTAAAAAGATCTTTTAGAATACCATGTCTTCTCAGACAAGGGAAACAAAAGAAAAAATAAACAAGTGGGAGTTCATCAGACTAAAGAACTTCTGCAAGGCAAAGGCAAACTAGGATCAAAACAAAGAGATAACCCACCAACTGGGAGAAAATATTTGCAAATCACATATCTGACAAGGGGTTAATCTCCATAATATATAAGGAACTCACAACTGAACAATAAAAAAACCAAACAGCCCGATCAGAAACTGGGCAGAGGATATCAACAGAGATTTTTTCCAAAGAAGATATACAGAGGCCAATAAACACATGAAAAGATGTTCAACATCACTAATCATCAGGGAAATGCAAATCAAAACTACACTAAGGTGCCACCTTACGCCAGTTAAAATGGTTATAATCAGTAAGACTAAAAATAACAAATTTTGGAGAGGTTATGGAAAAAAGGGAACCCTCATACACTGCTGGTGGGAATGCAAACTGGTGCAGCCACTGTGAAAAACAATATGGAGATTCCTCAAAAAACTAAAAATAGAACTACCATATGACCCAGCTATCTCACTACTGGGTATCTACCCAAACAACTTGAAATCAACAATCCAAAGTAGCATATGCACCCCTATGTTCATCGCAGCAGTATTCACAATAGCCAAGACATGGAAACAATCCAAGTGCCCATCGACACTGATGATTGGATAAAGAAAGTGTGGTATATATATACAGTGGAACACTACTCAGCCATAAAAAGACAAATTCATCTGATTTGCAGCAACATGAAAGGACCTGGAGGGAATTACGCCAAGTGAAATAAGGCAGACTGAGAAAGACAAACACAAGATCATTTCACTCATATGTGGAATACAAACAAATACACGGACAAAGAAAACAGTTCAGTGGTTACTAGGGGAAGCGGGGTGGGGGGTGGGCACCGGGGGTGAAGGGGAGCACATATTTGGTGACAGTCAAGAAATAATGTACAACTGAAATCTCACATTGATGTAAACTATTATGAACTCAATAAAAAAATGCAGTTGGATGACTCCATTCATAGTGGAAGTTAAACATGTAGACAAGGAGAACAGATTAGTGGTTACCAGCAGAAAGGGGTGGGGTGATGGTGGGCACAAAGGGTGAAGTGGTGTACCTACAACACGACTGACAAACAATAATGTACAACTGAAATTTCACGAGGTTGTAAACTATCATAATCTCAATAAAAAGTAAAAAAAAAATACAGTTGGTGCAGTGTCTTGCTAGAGACTTACCATCCCTTTCCTTCTTTCAGGGCACAGAGGAAGACATTTTCCAAGACCGATTGTAGTTTCCATGGGGCCCTATAACTGGGACAATGAGACATGGCAAAGAGAGGCATGCCAATTTCAGGCCTGACAATAAATTGTCCATTGTGGTCTTAACACTCTCTCACAGGTATTAGAGTCCTACAATGGATGGAGCTGGTTCCCTGAGCCACTGCCTGAAAGACGGATACCTAGGAGGGTCACTCTGCCATATCTGACTGAAACATCAGAGAGCACTAACATTTCATGATAGTAACCGATTGAGAGTTTGTGTAGATAACTACTGTGACTACTATGGCAGTACCGTGATGAAAATGCTGTTTGATGAAGATAAGTAGAAAAGCTTCAAGTGCATTTTTGATTGCAGGAGAAGGAAGGAGAGGAAACAAGGAGAATATCTAGTGTGAAAAGGCGTCAGTCTTGATACAATTTAACGATGAGATGTTAGGTTAGGGCAAAAGCGAATGCTGGTGAAAAAGAAATGAAGGCACAGATGGATACATAGCACATGATCAACAACTTTGGGTAGATTTGCAATCTGACAAAGAAAGAAGTCAAGCTTGGAAAACTTGAGTAACCAGGTAAGGGAATAACAGTCCCAGCTGTGGTGATGTAAAATTGTGATCACGTGGTGAGTTATTGCTTCAGGCAGGGTTGAATCTGCTTGACATCACTGGTATCTAGCTGTGTTTCTTTCCTGAGTTACCCTCCCACCCTCATAACTATAAAAATATTTATATGCTAATACAGTCCAAGTTAATATCCAGTCTTGACCTCTTCTGTGGCCTCTATATCCATGTATACACCTGTCTGCCTGAATCTCCACATGTATGTCTAGTAGGCAACTCCATCTCAGAAGGTCCAGACAGCTGTCTTGATTTTCTCCCCAAATTTGCTTCTACCCTAGTCCTCTCCCGTCTTGCATAGTGGCATCAGAATTTACTCATTTGTTCAGGCCGAAAGTCTATATCCCCTTGAAGACATCTATTTCTCTCACTAGAAGTCCCCCAATAGTAAAAAAAAAAAAAGCTAAACCACCAGAAAGTCTTATTCCCTCTATGTCTAAAACACTTCCAAAATCCAGGTACATCTTACCATCTGCATGGATCCCTCTTCAATTTACACTCTTGTCATCTCTTGTCTGGACTATTGCAGTAGCCTCCTAGCTGGTCTCTGATACCACTCAGTGGAGAAGTGTCACTTTTAATTTGCCATGTTCTCAAATTTCACTTAAAAAATAAAGGCGGGGGGCCGGCCCCGTGGCTGAGTGGTTAAGTTGGCGCGCTCCGCTGAGGGCGGCCCAGTGTTTCGGCAGTGGAATCCTGGGCGCGGACATGGCACCGCTCATCGAGTCACACTGAGGTGGCGTCCCACATGCCACAACTAGAAGGACCCACAACTAAGAATATACAGCTATGTACCGGGGGGCTTTGGGGAGAAAAAGGAAAAAAATAAAATCTTAAAAATAAATAAAGGCTGGGAAATGGAATGAGAATAATTTGGGTGGAGGCATCACTAGATAGAAAGTCAGGGAAGAGCTCTTTGAGGAGGTGATATCGGAACTTGAGAAATTAGAAGATATAGGCTGAGCCATGTGCAGGGAAGAGTATCTGGAACAGAAGGAAGAGCACGTGTAAGTGCTGTGTGGTGGAACCAGCTTGATGCTTTGAAGACTAGAGGGAATGGGGGACAGTGGTAGGATAAGAGGTGAGATGGGATGCAGGGGCCACATCTCGTCCTTGGAGGACTTGGATTTTATTCTATGTACATTGGAGTGTCTCTTGGGTCCTGGGGTAAGAAAGACAGAAGAAAGCCCAAGCTTGAGAATGCACAGATAAGCTCAGTATGTGGATGAAATGTGTCCGTTAACCAGAGTCACATATGAGCAGGTGGTGCCTTTTGAAGAAGTGAGCTACACAGTCTCAAAAGTTTTCCAACAGAAACTAGGCGGTTATTAGTCAGAAATGCAGAACCATCTTCATCGCATAGAGAGTTGAACTTCATACTTCTAAGGCTGCTTTAATATCTTCTAAAATATACTTTACTATTTAAGATTGACAAATCTGAGCGGTCGGTACTGAAATCAATCCTATTACAGTTGGTCTTGTGGCTGCCACTATTATCTCCTACCCAATTGGCCCCCCAACCCAACTGTCACATCCCCATCATTCTTATATCTCTTATTAAGCATTTCCCTGAAGTTTATGTTATGTGCAAAAAAATGCACATATCAAATGCACACAAGTTTGCTAATTCTGTCAAAGTAAATGTACCCATTTAAGCAGTTGGGGGTAAAAATAAAACACCGCTATCACACAAGAAGCCCATCTTGTGCCTCATCCTAATCGCTGCTCCTACCAAAGATATCCAATATCACGACTTTTACTACCATAGATTAGTTTGCCTGCATTTGACCTTTGTAAAAATTGGAATCATACAATATGTGACATACAGTATATGAAATACAATGTATGACATAATCATATCGTCTATGACATAATCCTCATGTCATATAATGTTTTTCCATGTGGTTGGTTGTATGTGGCTATTGTTTGTTCTTATTGCTGAATATAAGTTTATATGAATCTACTACAGTTTACTTTTTCATCCTACTCTTGATGGGTATTAACTTGTACCTATGCTCCAAGAAAACTTATTTATCCATAATTTTTCATTAGATTGCTTCATTCGTTAATTCATTATACATTCATTCATTCACTCATTATGCTATTTGAGTTAATAGTATAGAGGCCTGAGTCTGAACACTGGGGGAAATGAAAACTCTGGTACAAATACTTATATAGGTAATATTTAACTATGAAAAACTCAAAGGTCATGACTTTTAGTTGAACTGGGAGTGTCCAGTGACATATAAAGTCCCTCAGTACCCAAATGGGAGACACGGTTGGATGACAGCAATGGTTGACTGCTTCCTTCAGAAAGAGCTCTGCCAGGACACAGGAAGCCCCAAACTTCTCATCCCCTAAGCCATGTCATCCTAGGTTCTTATTATGATTTACTTTACATGGTTACAAATGTTACCTGTTAAAGCCATTTCACAAGGATCAGCATCCAGACTACAGGTGCAATGTGCTACCATACCATCAGTGTCACATTGCTATGCAAGCCACAGCTTTGATAATAATGATTATCCATTGCACATGTGTGCCTACATGGCGGGTATGCAAGGACGACCAGTCTAGAAGCGTCCATAATCATTTATCTAACAGGGACTAAGTGGTTCAGAGCATTGCCAAGGCCAATAATCCAATTTCACAAATTTGTGCTTTCGAATATGTAGGTACTTTCTGCCTCAAAACCTATTCCCTTCCCTGCATTGAACTAACTCCTAGTCATAAACCTCAAATCCTGGCATCTACTCTAAAAATCCCTCCCTGAAATTTCCTTGAGTCTCATTTAGATATCCTTCTCTGTCTTCCTTCATGCAGCACAAGGACAGGTTAATCACCCCAGAGTATAATTTCCAGTTCCTGTGTCAAACACTCTTATTAGGTGGTAGCTCTCTGGAGTCAGAGACAAAGGTCAGCACACAGCACAATGAAAAGCACGCAGTTAGAGCTCAGGAAGGAATTCTAAAATAAAGGGTTGAAAATAGCAGCTGATAAATAGCCCAGAAGAAAGTGAGGTGACACTCACCTGTCTGAAATATGGCCAAATATCAGACCTCCCAGCAGCTGGGCAACCATAAACAGGGATTGAGCCACTGATATTAGGGACTGCGATTCACACACCAGGTCCCACTGGAAGGGAAGGAAGGCGCACAGCACTTTTAGAAGGGTTTAAACCCTTTAGTGGGAACTGACTTCATATTCCTACATATGATGTACACAATCTCCTGCTATGTGGGTCCTGCCTCCCTTTCCTAACCCTTCTCCCCTAAGATCCCACACTCTAAAAACAGTGAACTTTTCTCAATACTTCAAATGCAGCTAGCTCATCACTCTCTGTTCTCTTAGATCCTTTAAATAGTCTGTATCCTCGTGTCTATAGATCTTTCTTCATTTTCCTCCTAGACCACCAATTCCTTTTATTGCATTAACTTACACACAGTCTTCAGATATTATTTCAAACATCATTTTTCCAAGAAACTGTTCCTCATCCTACAGTTAACACAATGGCCCTGCCTTTGAATTCACTTAGCAGTCGATATTCAGCTACCACAGTAACCTTCATCTCTGGCTACAGATCAAACCACTCGAAAAACTTCAAAATACTCATTCCTGGATCCTTTGACCAGAGGTTCTAATTTACTTACACTGGGCATAAGTTTTCTTTGAGTATTGAGAATCAATGACCGAGCATAACATTACTTTTTAAATTATAGATCTCTCTCACTAGAGTAAAGGGTATAGTGACAGGTTCATGTTTGGTTTATTCAATTCACTAACGTCAATACTAATACTCTTGACTGCCATAGTGTAGACAAGTAACACTATCTGCTGAAGGAATGAAGAACAGGCTGATTATGGTATTCCCTTGGGGACTAAATGTATAAAGCAAGCCCATCTTTTGTGTTAGGTCTAAACACTTTTTACATGGGGCCTCTTACCTCAGTCACGATGGTGGAGGAGAAGGAGCTTCGGTCATACACCCAGCCGTCCACACAGGGCTCCGTGTCTGGCTCACTCATGTTAGGGAAGGTCCCATTTAGGTCAAGGAACTGCCACTGGGGATGGATGAAGCGACGACACTTCTCTGGCCTCAAGTTTGAGTCCAGTGGGATGGAGATTCTCAGAAGGGTTTCTTGGCTGAGGATTTCAGTGCCATTAGCTGAGACAGTGTCATTGTCAAGGATGTGGACCCAGCAGCGGTGACCAGGGACGGCAGCAGTGAAGTTCTCCAATAGCATATGAGGGTATGCTATGAGGATGCAGATACAAAAGAAAGCTGTCTGAAGGATCTGGAATCTCCCCAGGCTTCCGACTTGATCCAGGAGGTCCTGAAAGGCCATCAAGGCTGAACAGGTGATCCCCAAGAGGAGGCACAACGACTCCACAGGGATAAGTTCAAAGAGAGAAAATATTTCCTTTCACTGTCACACCAAGTCCGTGTCGATGCTGACATGACTTTCTCCTCAGTGGCCCCGCCTCACCACTACTGAAGAGCAGTGGGAGAAGTTGTCCCCAAGTCTTTTGAGGTTAGGCAGCTAGACAGTTTCAATAAAGTCACAGATTTAATTATTTGGCAAAAAGACTTCAGCTGTTGACAAGTAAACCTGCTTAAAAGACTACTCAGTGCATGACCCTGATCTTAGAGGCTCCTGAGAAGTCAACTGTACTTTAGGCAGAAATACACCTGTTCTCCACACATCCTTAAATACACCTGTTCTCCACACATCCTTAAATACACCTGTCCAATGATCTGCTATTATTTTCAGAAAAGAGATGTTTGGAGACTCAAAAGTAAACTGCTTTGTGATCTTCTGGTGCAAAGAGAAGAGGGCAGGGCTTTTCTTGGTTAGGACTGATTTTTGATTAAAAGTTAAAGGAAAAAATGCTTAGTTAAATTAAAGCAAAATGGAATGCTGTTCACAAACACTAATTTTTGGTGACTGAAGTTCTGCTTCAGTTCGAATCATACCAGTGACAGTGAACTTAAGATTTTTGAAATAACGAAATTTTGAAAAGGAGGAAGGAAATAGTATTTTTCTGTAACCATTTATTTTACCAGATTTATTGAGCCATTCAGGTAGCATTTCAGACTTTCTCTGCTGCTGCTATAAGTAAACGGTGTTATGTATTTACATATATTTGTATATTATATATTTATTTATAAATTTACAAATAAAATGTGAGGTCAGTGTTTCAAGGTCTCAAAATCCAGTTAATAAGAGACAGATGCATAAATAATTACACTGCAATGTCAAAAGATAACCATAAGGAAGATACACAATGTGCTATGGCAGAATTAAAGAGAAAATGTTAATGATTCCTGGAGAGATTTCACGGGGTTGGGAAGTGATCCTTGTAGAAACGGACTTTTACCTGCTCTTAAAGGAAGATTCTTGAGACTCTGAAGCAGCAGGTGAAGAACGGGAAAAAAGTCAATTTCTGACCAAGAGAATAATAAGTACACAATTATAGTAAAAGGGTAAGTAATATTTGTGCACCTACAGGATAATCAAAAGCTAGACGCTAAAGAATATAGAAGGTAATAATGGGAGAAGGTAGGTTGACAAAAATAACGTTTAGAATTTATTCTGCGTACTTGAGTTTCTTATCCTTGAATTTGAAATTCAGCACCTGTGGAACATCTTAGAATGCGGATTCCTGTGCAGCCCATAGAGATTCCCTTTCAGGAAATGACTTTGTCAGAGAAATTCCAAAGATGAAATTTAAGGAATTATTGAATGTTACTGTAAAATTTTAGAAAGGAGTATGTCTCAGTTTGCTAGGGCTACCATAACAAAATACCACATGCTGGGTGGCTCAAACAACAGAACTTTCCTTCCTCACAGTTCTGGAGGCTAGATGTTCAAGATCAAGGTGTTAGCACCTTTGGTTTCTTCTGAGGCCTGTCCCCTTGGCTTGCAAGATGGCCATCTTCTCACTGTGTCCTTACATGACCTTCCTCTGTGTGTGCACATACCTGGTGACTCTTCCTCTTCTTCTAAGGACACCCATAATATGGGATTAAGGCCCCACTCAAACGGTCTCATTTTAACTTATTCATCTCTTTAAAGTCTTTATCTTCAAATATGGTTATATTCTGGGGCATTAGGGGTTGAGAGCTCAACATACAAATTTGGGGAGACACAATTCAGGGTTATATAATTAAATTTTTATTTTAACGCAGTACTGATACCAAGTAAAAATAGTGAGAAGTGAGTGGTCCAGCAAGGCAGACCATTCAGAGCCATAGGAGTATAATAATATAAATGGTGACAGTCACAGCTAAGAATTCACTGAGTATTCACTAGGTGCCAATTCTGTCATAAGTACTTTTCACGTTTTTATTCCTTTAGTCTTCACCTCCTTATTGTCTGCATCTTACCACTGAGAAAACAGAGGTCCAGAGAGATTAAATAACTTGCCAAAGGATATCCAGAGTGTAAGTGGTGACGCCAGCACATGAACAAAGGTAGTTTAACGCCAAAGACAATCTTTTACTCACTTTTGATTTACTAGTTTTATCCTCATAAACAAAATGATTATTTTGATGAAATGATGAAGGTGTATCTAGAGTCAAGTAGACAGAGAGAGAAGAAGCTGACATCATTGTTCCCCATCCTCCAAATCTTCCACAAAACACAGAAAAATTAAAGGAGAGGAAATTCAGTACCATGGACTTAAGTAAGTACCATGGTAATCAAACGTAGACACAAAAAATAATGAAGTTGAATGTTCCATGGATCAAACAGCAAGCATCTCTAGAGTAATGGGGGAAAAGGAGGATTAAGAGCAAAACATATTAAAAAGGCAATGACAATCACTAAAAACATATCGATATCTTCCTATGTGCCAAACACTGGGTGAAGTCCTTTCCATGCACCTCCTATTTATTCTTCACAACCACCCTGTGAGATGGGAATTATTCCCCTTGTTTTGCAGGAAAAATATATGCCCAATCAAGTTGGCTGAGCTAGTATGATGTGAACAGAGTATAAATGTTAATAAAATCTGGCAGGAAGTCCAATGTTGGATATGCAGTGGAGGATGAACCTGGTGGCCAAGGATGGGCAGGAAATCAGGAAACTCTGCATAATTCTAGAAACACCTGGCTGTAAATTCTCATGCCATCCTTATAGTAAACTTCTTTTACGGCTTCTTTTATGTCACAGATTCCACAATTATTTATAGGACAAAAGAATTCCAAGCACTGCAACGTTGATCTGAGAAGTTTATGTCTTACTGAAATGCAGGAGAGGTGAGAACTGCTCTCCTTCTTGATGAGCTCGCATTGGGTACCACCACTGCTATCTCTCTGGGTTTTGTTACATATGTGCTCTTAACCTGATATGTTGATTTATTTATGTCTCCTTTCCTTCCAGCATCACTGGTTGATTTGCTGGCTTGATTTAAGTTTCTCTAATTAGACATTTGCAGTGATTTGCTTCTGTGCTCAGTTTTCCCTTTGATCCCATTGAAACTCTTCAATATTACAAGAGGGCAAAACTAGGATTCACATTCATCATTGCTTCTTGGGGACAGATGTGCACTAGACCATGTGAGAAACTTCTGTAAGGCAAGGCTGCCTTCAAAACTGAGGCCTCCGCAATGATTCTCCTCGGAAATATGCCCCAGGAAGATGCTGCCCTCATCCCTGAATACATCTCCGAGTAACTCTGTGGAATCACAGCCTTCCCCACCTTTTGGGGAGGGAAGGAAATACAGGACATAGGCAAAAGAATTCTGTAGCATAAAATAAGCTTCATCCAAAATCACCAAATCCCACATGTACAAACAGGCTGTGATGTCACCGAACTTAAATAAAAAACAAAATAAACTTCTGATGAACCCACTTTCTCCTTCAGCTACTGCCCTATTATCCAATCTCATGGACAGAAAAAAATTCTTTTCTCATTTTCTTCTCTCTCATTTATATTTTTACCCAATCCTATCAGGCATTCATCTCTACCAAATTTCTTCTGAAGGTCCTAGTGTTTTCTATCTTTTTAGATCCAAATGTTTATGTTATAGTTGATAAATTGCTCTTCCTGGAAACAGTTTCTTTATTTGCCTATCAAGACCTTACTTTATTTTATTTTACTAATTCATTGCAGGCTGCTCTTTCTCATTCTTCTGTGTTGACTCTTCAAACATTTGGAGTGTTGGAGAGTTCCTGAATATTTTCTCTTCTCTATGTATACCCACTTTATCTCTTTACTAATGGTTCCTAAATTTACATCTCTGGCATGCTTCTTTCCTAAACCTCAAGTTTTAAAACTTGCTGCAATTTCGAATGACATCCAGAATCTGACAGCCCCTAACCACCTGCCTTATTACCTACCAAGTCTACCTCTCATTTCTCACCTGGTTACTGTCCTCTTCCCTATTCCTCCATATAAATCTTCAAGTAAGTCGTTTAAAATTAATCATGCAACGTCAGGTCTCAGCTCAAATGTGTCTTATGGCTTCCATCTCATGCAGAGGGAAAGGCAACTCTCTTTCCTTCTAGGCCCCATCAGATTTAGTCCCCTCTGTCTCTTTACATCTCTGACTTTATCTAACATTATTCTAGCCGCACTGGCCTCTTATACGTTTCAAAAGATACCAGGCACACTCTCACTGCAGAATTGCTGCATTTCCTTTTTCTACAACGGGCTTTCCTCAAAAACTCCTTCAGTACTTTCAGTTCTCTGTTCAAATGTTATTACCACATTTGAGAGGTCTTCCCAATGTGTTCTCCTTAGATATTAATATAGACCTCATCTCTCACTCTCTATCTCCTTGCTTTGCTTCATTTTCTTCACACCACTTAGCACTCCAGCAATATATTTGCATATTGTCTGTTTCCTCACTACTCAATTAAAAGTCCAGTGAAATAAAACGGTCTGCTTTGTTCTATGTTGCATCCTCATCACCTTGAAGAGTTCTTGGAACATATTAAATAATTGTGGAATATTGAATAAAAGGGACACAAGAAAGTCTAAGGCACTGGGATCCTATCGCATTGAACTTAATGATTATGCTATGGGGACCGCCCTCCAAATTAAATTTTTTGTATGTGTATATCTATTTGTCCAAGCATCAGTTCCTAAAGACTTCCTTTCTTCCATTGAGTTTTTCTTGTTCCCTTTGTTAAAAACTCTATTGATCATAAATTTAGGGTTTACTTTTGTACTCTCAATTTTATTCCTTTATCTCTATGTCTATCCTTATCCTGAATCACTCTATTCTATAGCTTTGCAGCAAGCTTTAAAATAAAAAAATACGACGCTAAGTTCATTCTTCTTTTTCAATATTGTTTTGGCATTCTGGGTCCTTGAATTTCCATATGAATATTAATGACAGTTTGTCAATTTCTGCAAAAGAAAAAGCCAGCTGATATTTGGGTATAAATTGTGTTGAATCTGTAGATAAATTTAGGCAGTATTGCTATATTAACAATATTAAGCCTCCTGATACAAGAATATGAGATATCTTTCCATTTATTTAGATCTTTATTGCCCTACAACACTGTTTTGTAGTTTATGGTGGACAATTCTTGCATTCCTTTTCTTAATTTTTCCATTATTTTATTCTCTGTGATACTATTGCAAATTGATTTGTTTTCTTAGATTTATTTCTTGATTGTTTATTGCTAGTGTACAGAAATAAGATTGCTTTTTGCAATGCAGTTGTGTCTGCAATGTTGGTAAACTCGTTTATTACTTCTAATAGATATTCAGTTGATTCCTTGGGATATTGTATATATGTCATCTGCAAATAAAGATCATGTCATCTGCAAATAGATAGTTTTGATTTTTCTTTTCCAATACAGATGTCTTTTATTTATTTTTCTTGTCTAATTACCCTCACTAGAACTTTCAATGTAATGTTGAATGTACATTGTATGAAGATATCATTATAGTGTTCCTGAACTTATGGTAAATAAATTAGCCTTTCACCATTTTGGATGACAATTTCTGTAAGTTCTTATATATGTTCCTTTTTAGATTTATTGAGGTATAATTGATATACCAAAAAATTTCACACATTAGTATACATATCTTGATGAGCTTCTACATATGCATACACCTATGATACCATCACTACAACCAAGGGGCTAACCATACCACTTACCTCCAAAAATTTCCTTGTGTTCTTTTGTAATTTTTTTTGTAGGAACGCTGAACTAGATCCATCCTCTTAATATATTTTAGCTATATTGTTAACTATATATATATATACAAAAACCTTTCACATTCTGAAGATTTGCTGTTTATCTGTATTGTCTCATAGGATTTTTAAGACTTGCTTTTCTTTACAATTTTAGCTCTTAAATTAATCACAATTTATTCCAATGTAATATAAAGCTATAATATTATTTCCCTAAAATAGTTAAATAACTTTTTCTAGACCTATGCTTTCCTCTCTATTTCTAATTTCACCTATATCATAGCATAATTTATTCTATATACACTAGAATTTTTTTCTGAACTATCTTGTTTGATTGACTTTCCTAGAAATTACTTTGATTTGGAGATCTGCAAACAGACCCCACTGAGCTTTCGGCAGAAGATTCCTCACAAGTATTTATACATGTGAAAAAATACGTAAGAATGGAGAAAGACCCATCTAGATGATTAGAGGTAAAACTCTCTGAATTTCACACCAGGGTGGGGATAGTGCCTATTCCCAATAATCCAGAGTAGAAAAACTCATAATTCATGTGGAGTTTTTTGTAGAATTCTCAGAATTTGATTCAATAGGGTAAAAAATTAACCTTATGCTAAATGCTGTTTTTATGTCACATAAAGATGCTGAATAGCAAGACCCCAAAATATCAGTATTTCTGAGTAACTTGAGCATATCTCATACAGCTCAATAATATTTTAAGGCATACAAAAATATCCAGCACCCAACAAAGGAAGAATCAAAATGCTTGGCTTCCAATAAAAAATTACCAGCAAGCAAAGAAATAGGAAAATAGGATCCATGTGAGGAGAAAAATCACTCAAGAAGAACTAGATAAACCGAATAGCCATATATCTACTAAGAAAAATAAATTTATAGTTAAACATCCTCCCACAAAGAAAACTATAGGTATCCTCACTGAAAGCTTTTACCAAGTTGTACACAGCCTCCTTCAGGAATAGAAGAGACAATGTTTCCGAACATTTTATGTGGCCAGCATTGTTCTGATATCAAAAGCTGGTGAAGATAGAGGGAAAGTAAACTACAGACCAATAACTCTCACTAACATAGATGCAAAATTGACATAGATGCAAAATTTATCACGAAAATTTTAGCAAATCAAATAAAGCAATATGTTTTTTTCTAGAAAAAGGTTACTACATCCTGACCAAGCAGGCCTATCCTAGTGCAAGGTTAGCCTAACAGTTTAAAATATAACAATGTAATTCACCAGTTAAAGAGACTAAAACAAGAAAAAACATATGTTCATGTCAATAAAATTGACAACATCTATTGGTAAAGGTGAAAAGTTGTAGGACTGAGAAGAGGATATGTTTCCGGTGTTTTTTCCGGAGATCTAGTAATCTTTTTGAACAGAAAAGTGAAATTCATTGGCACCCCTTCTTTGCTCTCCAATCCATAATTTTGGTATTGTATAAAGATGCTGGAATCTTGATATCTCAGATGGGGAGGTTTTGAGGTATATGGCCCCAAAATAACTCCGGAATCCTGCCAACTTAGAGAATTGAGCCTCCAAGTTAAAATCATTTGGCTTGTAGAAAAGTACAAGGTGACATCCAAGTTGCATTTGTGGACAACCTGATACTTCTGATTTTATGCTTTTGTCTCATTAAATCTCTGTATCCATGGGAACAAGCCAAGTATTCCTTTGTAAGTCATACATGCTCATTAAGTGTTTGTTGAACTAAAAATTGAATAAAACTCAATATAATGCTACCTGTTTCTAGCAGCTTTATAGCATGCTTGATTTTTTTTATTACAGCCTGCATTCACCACTATGAATTCCCATTGCCATGTGCCCTAACCCACAATGACAATTAAGTCTGCTGTTTTGAACATGAAATCTTATATTTCAAGTTGGGGTTGTCTTAAATTACTAATATTTAAACAGTTTTCCATATATTAATTAATCATGTCATTTGGAATATAATTTTTAATTTATAGTGATTTTATTAAATGTGCATATATTTTGAAAATTGCTTATCCTGTTATTTGACTTTCTATTTTGGTAATGCTTTAAATGACACATGATAATTTTTTAAAATATGAAGAGAGACAATTACAAAGAAAATGTAGCAATCACTTAAAATTCCATCATTGAAAGGTCACCATTGTTATTATTTCAAAGAATGTAATCAAAGGGCACATCATCTTTCTATTTGCCAGTGATTTATGAAGTCAAGCCGTCAAGACAACCACAAGTTGTCAACACAACCCCAAAATGGTTTAAATGAGCTTATATCAGAGGTGACACCAGTTTCTACCCCATAGCCCCCCTCCAAAGTATCATGTATTAAGTGTGTATATATTGGTATCTGTTTGTGGATTTCTTTTGATTTCTGGGTGCATATGCTATATTGTTCTGATTTTTGCAGATTTATGATATGCTGCTCCATGTGTCAACAAGCTACATCCTAATTCCACGGTTTTCCTTTGTTTCTGAATCATCTTGTCTATTAATATTTATTGATAAATTTGAAACTTTTTCAATTACCTCCCCAAAATATTGGATTGATCATAGAATTACATGTTCCCACAACTTTTTTAAACTGCAAATTAGTGCCATAAATGTAAATGAGATTGATTTTCCAGTGTATTGTCTTGCAAATTTGTAGATATAACGGAAAACTTCTGTGTTTTTTTCATATTTTTTGTTTCCTCACGAGGGAGCCTATGAAAGTGCCTTAAAATTTTGTCAGATTTATGTAGGAATCTTTTTCATTTACTTTTCTTGAGAATTTTTTGCTGGAAAAAAACAAGAAACAACCAATCAAAAACCAAAAACAAACATTAAAAAAACAGAAAAGATAAAAAATAAGTTTATCTTTATCCATGCACAAGTACAAACTGATCCGCTAACTATCAGCTTTTTATAATCCAGTAAAACTCATGAGCGATTGACACTCATGTTGGAAAAGGCCCTGCTGCCTGTGCAGACCCAAGAAAGCAGTTTTGAAAGTTTCTACTCTCATTGGTCTCTTTAGACCTCTGGTCAATGACACCTTTTGAAAGTCAACAGGTGGATTGAAAATCTTAAGGGGACTGCCCATTTTTTTTGGGTTGAGTTGTGTCCCCCCAAAATTCATACGTTGAAGTCTTAACTCTCAGTATCTCAGGATGTGAGATTACCATGTTTGGAAATAGGGTTGTTGCAGATATAATTAGTTAAGATGAGGTCATACTGGAGTATGGGGGGCCTCTAATCCAATATGACTGCTGTCCTTATAAAAAGGGGAAATGGACACAGAGGCATGCAGGGAGAATGCCACGTGAAGACTGGAGTTCTGCTGCCACAAGCCAAGGAACTACCAGAAGCTAAGAGAGCGGCCTGAACAGATAGTTCCCTACAGCCTTCAGAGGGATCATGGCCCTGCCGACAGCTTGAGCTCAGACTTCCAGGTTCCAGAACTGTGAGAAAATAAATTTTTGTTGTTGAAATCACTCAGTTTGTGGAACTTTATAATGGAAGCCCTAGGAAACTAATATACCATTTGTCGCATTTAAAAATACCTTTTATTAGTTTCTTATTTTCTTTATCATCAATCTTTCCATTACCAGTGGCAGCAAAATTACCTGAATCTCACAGTCACCTAAACAGGATTTATTTCTTTTATTATCTTTTTAAAGAGAGTCTTTAACTCTGTGTGATCTTCCTAACATTATTCCTTCACTGGCTATCTCATTTCTTTTCCCTTCATACCTGAGGCTCTTATGATCTGAGAATCGTGGAATATCATCATGATTGTGTGTCTTTCATGAGGGCAGGTCATATGTGCCATCACAGCAGAGCTAATTTTCATCTCTTCATCACTAAAACTACAAAACTCCTCCCAAAAGATGGCCAGAAGGTTTACTCACCCTTTTTCCACATCCTGAATGGTGTCAAGAAGAGGCTGGTTCCTGGTTTCACGTAGAAAGAAGACAACAAGACCACTAATGATGGGAAAAGCTCCATAGACGACCCAAGGCAAAGTGGGAAGATATACTATGAGGATCATCAAGAGGGGAGCCAGTGCTGCCCCAATCCTACCAGCCACTATATCTAAGCCTGAAGATCTTGCCCTGAGGGATAAATGACAATACATAATAATCTGATAAAAATCCACACGTGTAATTTGTGATATGTTATTTTGACTTGATTATGGAAGACAATAGAACATAGCTGGTAAATACATGGGCTTTGACGACAAACACTTGTTTCTGAGATTAGCTCTATGATTTTCTAGCTGTCTTTGTTAGGTTCAAAGTGCGTTAAGACTTATTTACATATTTTTAAACAGAATGCTACACAATGCACTACTCTGATGAGTGGTCCAAACAATTCATGAGATGACACATTAAAGTACTGCTTAGCACAGTGCCTGACACAAAATCAGCTTTCAATAAATTTTGGCTATAATTGTTGTTAGTATAATATTAGCACTACAATTGCAAATGGTTGCCTTTATGCTATACAGGTCTTATTGTGTTTATTGCCTCAATAAATGTTGATTAGCTGTGCAAGTCCTGTTTTGAGCCCTAGCAGAGAATCCATAAACTCATACCTGAGGACAGTGGGGATGAGTTCAACCATGTGGGCAGCAGTACTGATGGTGGGGGCAGCAGAAGAGCAGATTCCCACGCTTGCTAAAACCACACGCAGGGTCTGCATTTCTGGAGACGGGAAGAGCAATCAGACTAAGAAATCTGGGCTGAAGGAATCAGCAACCACCAAATGTAGTCAGGAAGAAGACCCTATAGGTTATTTGTACATTTCAAATATACTGTAGAAAATTGCACAGTAGCAGAAAGCTTGGAGTGGTTGATAAGCTGAGAAATTTAGAATTTCAACATTGGTGGGAAAAAGCACTTAAAATTATCAGATTAATTGCAGCAAATCTTTCTGCGTATCTGAGATTTCCCAGAGGAGAAGAAAAGGTGAGTCTAGCAGAAATTTACTCTTACTAATTCTGTCCAGTGCTCGCTATGTCCTTATTGTAGAAAGTAGGACCATCATGTGGACAATTATGGAGTCTAAGACTCAGCTCTAAACTCGAGGCCTTTCAATTAAAGTGCAGAATCTAAAGTGACCAGCCATCCTGGTTTTCCCGGGAATTAGAGGGTTTTAGTGATGTGAGCTTTTCATTGATAAAGCCAGGAAAGCTCCATGTAAACATGGATGAGTCAGTCAAACTAGCGCAGATATAACATTGTCATGGGGTGGGTATGGCATGATAAAGTAATCGAAGGGCAGGACTACTGTGCTGGTGGACAGGGTGAAGAGCGTCTAGCTCGAGAAGAATGTTAGACATAAAGAACCAAGAATGGAAACTTCTACTTGGAAAAAAAAATCAGAATTTTGGAACTACTAAAGAGAAGTTTCAGAGAGTCAGTTTTCTGCCCAATATAAACAGAAATCTAATTATAGCCTTATAATATTGGAAAGGACTCTATTGTAAAGAAGTAAGCCTGCATCATTTACAATATTCTGAGGAGTGCAGTCCATTAATCTGTAATGCTGTACAGTACATTCTTGCACTTGGAGATGGGTGAAGCATAGTGTCTGCTGAGGTTCTCCTAATCATTACATGTAATCATTCTATTAACTTATAAAGTAATATAACAGGGAATGGATTAGGCTTCTAATCTGCTTAATTCCTTGTTTCCACTGTACATTCCTTCACTACTATACAAAGGAGAATTTTTTTCATTTCCTGAAAGTCAAGAAGACTCCCATGAGCAAGGGCTGCAGTTTTGGTGACTTAACACCACATTCATATGTGGATATGTAGAGATCAGGATACAGACTAGTTATCAAAGTTGATAATGAAGAGCTCAGACAGAGGGAGTGACCATATTGTGTCCTCGCATGGGCTATAATTGCAAGACCTAGTCTCTCCATGCTTGTTATTAAAAGTGTGAATGACCAAAGGGCAAGTGACCAATTGATGCCTTAGCAAAACTGTCAGGAATAGATGGCATCAGTTTCCAGATACTTCCAGGATGTGAAGAAGATAAATATATGTCTGAGGTGCCTCTTGCTGACCTTTGGCTCTTTTCCCAACAACTTATTAGCAGAATTTGTCATAAACCTTCAGATTGGTTTCAGAGATACTTAGCTCTTTTTTGGGACTTCTTGTTGCTCCTTGCTTTGGACAAGTATGACAAATACAATCCCCAAAAGATGAGGAAAAGACCCTTCCTTTCCCCAAAGTCCAATATTCTCTCACCTTGGGGCACAAACATGTTCGCCAAAATGGAAAATCCCACCAGGAACATGAAAAGCATGTGGGCTACTCGATGACCCATATGATTCAGTGCTAAAAGTGCAAGACATCGGGATGAGGTAGTGAAAGCTCCAAAGACTACCTGGAACAGGAAAATATTGCTACCAAAGTGCTGTAGATTGATAAAGATGCCATAAAAGGGTAATGTGTTTGCAAATCTGTAGTGAACAAAAGAGTAAAGACACATGCCATAAGATTTAGAGCCTACGTGCTGCAGCTGATGATCATATTGACCCAGGCAGCCAATGATCAATGTACAGAATAGAGGCCCAGTCTGATTTGTATAACACTTCATTTTAAGGTGATAATATAAACTTACCATAAATAATTGCATGACAATATATGAAAACAATACTCTTTCTGTCATTCTTTTGTCTGAGTCCCTAAGAGTTGGCAGTGACAGGGAAACATAAGCTGACTCAATCACCAAACTGGATGGGATGTGGAAGTTGAGTATAGAAGGATTAACACTTGGAAATTAGGGAAAGAATTTCTTTTGTGAGGGTTGTCAGTATGTGGGACTCCTTCTCCTCCCCTAACCCAACACTGTGAGAAATTTCCCTTTGCTTGACTAGTGATTGATGCTTCAAAGAGACTATGTGTGTCCACTCGATTTGAAATCACAGTGTCCTTAGGTCTGGCTCAATTCTAGGGAACTTAAGGTTCATATGTGACTTCTAGGGCTGACAGACAATGTAAGAATTCAGGCAAACAAACATGCACCAGCTGTACCATATGAAATGGAATCAAAGGTTCCAAATGGGGATTTACAATTTACCCAGAAAGCATCTAAAGGAAAGGGGTCCACTTCAGTAATGTACGTCCCGCAGAGAGAGCTAGATTTCAACATTGTAGCAGAAGAGACCACCACAGACCACAACAATCCCAAGCTAGTAAGTCCTTTCTTGGCCATTATCTCTACTTTTCTTTCCACTCTAATTGTCTAGGATTCAGAAACCTGAGTCTGTGACCAAGTGAATAGGGGAAAGGTGAAAAAGCACAATGCATTTAAATGAGGAACAGTGTCCTAGGATATGCCTAGGAAGAGGGAAACTGTACCATTCAATAATTACTTTCTTAAGCTTGGCAGTGAGTCTATATTCTCCTGTGTGCTTTTTTTTTTTTTTTTTTGTAAGTCTTCAAAATTTCCCCTCCTGATGCTACCAAAGCAACTACTTATATCCTCCAAGAGATACTGGACAAGATTTTCTACAGAAGAAATTGGGAAAAAAAAAACATGTCCTCTAACATCAAAGTATATGAAGAAATTGTAGTGTGTTCATCTAATGGAATACTAAAACACTGGGGACAAAAACAATCTACTATTACATGCAACAAAATGGATGAATCTCGCATGGATAAGCTTGAGCAAAAGGGGCCTGTCACAGAACCATTTTATCATTTACTTTATGTGAAGGTCAAGATCAGGCAACACTCCTTTGTTGTGATGGAGATTAGAACAGTCGTTAAGTCTTATTTGGCCTGGGAGAGGGCAGTGAGGAGGAAATGATAGTGGGGCAGTGGTGGTGGTGCTGGCTATTATCATAGGGGATACAAATGGAACCTTTGGGGAATTAAGATTTTTCTATCTTGATCTGGACATTGGTTATGTTTTACATCTTGAAATATTCACTGAGCTGTGTGTATTCACTGTCTATTCACCTTTCTGTTTGCAAGATTTGCTTCAATTAAAATTGAAGGAAAAAAATAAAGAAAATTAAATGGCCAAATGGATATTGTGATGAAAGTTCTCAACATCAATCTCTAGTGAGGAGACTGATAAAGTGATATGACATAATTCCTTATTGTACAATCAGTTCCATGTGAGTCTTTTTATAACCCTTTGACAATCTCCAAACATAGCAATTATTTGGTGTGTTTTCCTCATCTTTTATCTCCAAATCAGCATATCCCCCTCACAACATTGTTATAACCTTTGAAACAAATAGATTCATATCTCCACTACCTTAATGTTGTCATGCACAGTGTGAAACCCACCTCAAAAAGAGCAGGAGACAGATCCTTTTACGCAGGTTGGGTGTGAGGAACAAGTCATACATAGTAGTTTTGTTCTGTGTTGCCTCCAGCTCCTCCTGCATGGTGGATCTCAAAACCTTCAACAACAACAAACATGTATCATTTGCCACCGTAGTGCCAGGTATTGCGGTGAGCACAGGCACCCAATAGCACAGGAAAGATGTGTTCCCCTTTTTCCTAGTGTAACATATTATACATGCAATCACAGGTGTGAAGTGATATGAAGGAACATGTAGGGAGCTAAAGGAGAGTCCAGAAAACTATTCAGCAACAATGGTATTTTGAAAATGAGGCCATAGAGGGTGCCGGGCATCCATGAGACTGCATAGGTTATAGATGCAGATCAGGAAGTGAACTAAAGGAAGAGGTAGTTGCTCAGTGCTGAGAGCTTCTCTTATATGAGATGGCCGTGAAAGACTACGGAATTGAGCTCACATCCTCAGCTGGCTGCCCTTTTTAGAGAGGCAGTTAGTCCATCTCAACAAAGAGAAGGTGGATGTCAGTTTATGTCTTCCCTCCAACCCAGTAAGCGCCTTCCCTTTCTTGCTCACCTCCATGTTCAGGGTTTCTTCAGCATTCTTCCTTCCATTTGTGTGTGCAGCATTTCTAAGTTCCTTTAAGCCCTCATCTGGTTTATTGGTGACAATCAGCCTCCGAGCCAACTCTGTCAGCCACCTGATGAAATGAGAGCTCCCCAGTGCAGTCAACTCTCTCTTAGTTATTTGTCATATGATTGTTGAATATAGATGCTTTTTGCCTTCCATCTAACATCCACCATTTTTTGGGTTAGACATAGAAACGCAGGTTCTATTATACAAATACTAGGAAAATATGAGAATGATCACTCCATGCAGTACATCTTCCCAGGATAGGAGCACAGACTTTGAAGTTAAATTGCCTCTCTTCTTACTCAGCAAACGTTTTTCCAAGAAGTTTAGGAAGCTGAAGCTTGAGAATCTCTCAATACATAATTCCCTTCCAAAGCTTGGCATGAGTTCTAGCAAATTTCTGCTCATCATATATATTCTTTAAAAAAAGGGAGGCCTCAAATTATGAAAGCTTAAAGCCCAACAAAGATTGGAAGTACTCCTTCCATTTCCAGCTACGTTGGTTACTTACCATATGAGTGAGTCACTTGTTTATATCTGCCTCAGTTTTTGCATCAATAAAATGGGGATACCAGTGTCATCTTCCTTGTGGGACTGTTGAGCATAGAATGACACAATGGATGAGTCTGACATGGAGTACACTCTGCTCTCTCTCTGAACTCATCTTGCTGTATTAAATCTATAGTCATCTCTGTGATCGACTAACTCTGACTCTCTCCTAGACCTGCTTTAAGTGTAGGGATGAAGTTATCCAAAAATAAGTGTTCATTAAAATTATTTAAGGGAAGAGGGAGTTCTGAACATATGATGTAAATCACCCAATCTGCAAGCCAGTTTTTAGTACTAGAGAAACTCTGCTGTTATTTTGTTAAATAACTATATGACTAAATTTGCTGTCTCTTCCTTTTATCCAGTTTCATCTACAAAGATGAAAATTACTGAAAACTTCACTGTAACCTGATTCATTACAAAGCCAAAAAAGAATTAGAGGTATTTCTTTTTGAAATATTTGTCTATATTTTATATCAAGGAAAATAATATTGGAATAACTCTATGACCACTATCCTGGGTAAGACTTAAGAAGAAAGATGGCAGAAAATAACTAGAACTCTCAGGCAGAAGTGTTCTGTTTCTCAAATTACACAGAGTGAACAGATGAGAGACATGGGTTTTAGGTCTAGACTATAATAAAGGGTCCAAGGAATAAGAAAATCAGTATGTCCTGATTCAATATTAATTTTCATCCCAGGTGCTCCTAAGACAAAGTGAGGGAGAAGGCTCATACATTGAGGAGAGAAACAAGACAAAGAAAGGTACAGACACCACCAGCTGCAGGGTACACCACTCTCGAAAGACAAAAGCCAGGCCTCCCAGGATTATCTGTCCCAAACTAAAGGCACAGCATACCAGTGTTATTACCATGGCTTTAGAGTGAGACCTTGTCCACTCTACAACTGAAAGAAAACCCAACTGGGATATAAATGTCAGATAAAGGTGGAATTTCCAGGTCAAATCCAAGGCTTGGAAAATGGAGAAGACCAAAATTAGTGACTTACTAAGCATACTGCTATTCATCATGATGGCCACGGAAGAACAGCCTGACAAGAAGCGTAGTAAGCAGTAAACGAGGAAGGTGGGCGCAAAGGCTGCACAGGTCCCTGAGATGGCCAGCAGGAGCAAACAACATCTGAGAACCACCTTTCGCCCAAACCTGAAAAACAGAGTCAGATTAGATTATGAGAACAACAATAATTTGTGGCAAAAACTTAAGAAAATGAAAGCATATTCAGAAATTTAGAGAATGTTTTAACAAGTGATTCTTTGTACCTGAAGGCTCGAAAAGTCAAGAGCTAAATCAACAACAGAAATCTCCTCAAAAGTAATGCTCCCTCTTTGTAGTATAGACTGAAAATATCAAAACTTCATCATCCATCACCCAGAGACCTCTGACACCCGGTGATACCATATAAAAGAGACTACAGTGTTGGAAATTGTAATAGACCATAAGCATGCATTGCACTAACATATGTATTTAGCATAGTAGAGAGTCTCTATAGTGTCTAGAACACAAGAGAGCTAAATGCGTCCTTGTTTCTCTAGGACCAGACAGGCTAAGGCTAAACTGATGCAAAAGAAACATCAAACAATGCATCAAAGTTGCTTTGGGGTTGTCTAAGAGGCCCTCTTTGTTGAGTCTGGATTTATAGGCCCCAAGCAATGTGCTTTATCTAGAACAGAATATAAGAGTTCCACAACCCAGAAGAAGAAATCATAGAAAGTTCTCAGAGGAAAGAATTATCTAAGATGGAGAATGAAAGGGAAAGAAGATAAAGGACAAATAAGAAAAAGGGAATTGTGTGTTTCATTGGATGTCAAGAAAAGAGGGCCTTGGTGGAGACAACTTAGACTAAACAGGATGTGCTGATCTATATGCCCAGTAATGAAAACACATGGACAAAGTTTGAGATTGGGGATTGCTCTGCAATGTTTGAAATAGAATTCTAAAAACATTCAAATAATTCTCCCTAAAGGCAGGGAATGTTAAAGGAACAAAAACAATTCCAGATAATCATAATGATTATCATCATCAAGCACATAATGTGGAAAACAAAAAATAAAATAGTAAACTGAAACAAAACCATAACAATTAGCTCAAACTAATTGCTAATGGCCTAAGCATTCTATCAAATGATGGAGAGTACCAGAATGGGTTAAAAAACAAAAGACCTAATTACATGCTGTCCACAATAGTACTTAAAACATTATAGGTTGAAAGTAAATTGACAAAAACAGATATAGAATTTAAATAGTAATAATAAGGAGGCTGGAGTCTTTATATTAATGTCAAATAAAATAAATTTCAAAACAAATACACTTTCAGCAATAATAATGCTGAAAATGTCAAATTTATGTGAACTCAACAAAACTTCAAAAAACATGAAACAAAATGGACAGAATTAGGTACCCAATTAACAATGATTGTTGGAGAGATTTTTGAATATTTTTAACGTGGTAAAATATATACGGTCATGTGTCACAATACTGGGGATACGTTCTGAGAAATGTGTTTTTAGGTGATTTTGTCGTTGTGTGAACATCACAGAGTGCACTTACGCAAATCTGGATGGGATAGCCCACTACACACCTCTGGTGTAGGGCACTAATCTTATGGGACCCTCGTCAGAGATGCAATCTGTTGTTGACTGAAATGTGGTTATGTGGTGCATGACTGTATAATAAAAAACTTGCCATTTTAATCATTTTTAGATGCACAATTCAGTGGTTAATTACATTCATCATGTTGTGCAACCGTCACTATTATCTACTTCCAAAATGCTTTCATCCCACCCAAACAAAAACACTATCACCTTTAAGCAATAACTCCCCATTCCCTCCTTCCCTCTTATCCTTCTGATAATCTCTAATCTACTTTCTGTCTCCATCAATTTGCATTTTCTAGAAATTTCATAGAAGGGAATGAATACAACATTTGTCCTTTTGTGCCTGGCTTATTTCATTTTGCCTAATTTTTTCGAGAATTCATCCATGGTGTACCATGTACCAGAACTTCATTCTTTTTCCTGGATGAATAATACTCCATTTTGTGTGTGTGTCTGTTTGTGTGTGCCTGTTTGTTTATCCATTAATCTGTTGATGAATACTTGGATTTTTTCACCTTTGGCTATTGTAAATAATGCTGTAATGAACATTGATATACAACTGTCTAAGTCCCCGTTTTCAATTTTTTAGGGTGTGTACCTAGGAGTGGAATTGCTGATTCATATGGCAATCCTATGTTTAGATTTTTGAGGAACTGCCAGATGGTTTTCCGCAGTAGCTTCACCACTTTGCCCTCCTACCATTAATGTGCAAGGGTTTCAATTTCTCCCCATGCTCACCAACGCTTGTTATTTTGGATTTTTTTTTTTATTATAGCCATCTTAGCAGGTGTGGTTTCTCATATAGTTTTTTTTTTAAAGATTTTATTTAATCTTTTTCCTTTTTCTCCCCAAATCCCCCCAGTACATAGTTGTATATTCTTTGTTGTGGGTCCTTCTACTTGTGGCATGTGGCACGCTGCCTCAGTGTGGTTTGATGGCTAGTGCCATGTCCGCACCCAGGATTCGAACCAACGAAACACTGGGCCGCCTGCAGCAGAGCGCGCGAACTTAACCACTCAGCCACGGGGCCAGCTCCTCTCATGTAGTTTTGATTTGCATTTCCCTAATAACTGATGATGTTGAGGATCTTTCAATGTGCTTTTTGGCCATTCATATGTCTTCTTTGTAGAAATATTTATTCAAGTCCTGTGTCAATTTTTTAAATTGGTTTATCATTTTGTTGTTGAGTTTTAGGAGTTTTTAATATATTCTGGATATTAAACCATCATCAGATATACGATTTTCAAATATTTTCACCCATTTTTAGGTTGTTTTTTCACTTTCTTGATAATGCTCTTTGATGCACAAACATTTTAATTTTAATGAAGTCCAATTTACATGTTTGCTTTCATTGTTTGAGCTTTTGGTATCCAAGAATCCATTGACAAATACAAGGTCATGAAGATTTACTTCTACTTTTTCTTTTATGAGTTTTACGGTTTTAGCTCATATATAAGTCACTGACCCATTGTGAGTTAATTTTTGCATATAATCTGAAGTAGGGGTAAATGTCATTCTATTTTATGTGGAAATTTAGTTGCTCAACTCCATTTGTTGAAGAGATTGCTCTTTCCCACATTGAATGGTCATGGCACCCTTGTCAAAAGTCAGTTGGCTATAAACGTACTGGTTTATTTCTGAACTCTCAATTCTATTACATTGGGTTTTAGGTATATATTTATGCCAGTAACCAAGCATTTGGTTACTGTAACTTTGTAGTAGTTCCAAAACCAAGAAGTGTTAAGTCTTCTGAATTTCTTCTTCTTTTTTAACATTTTAGCTCTTTGGAGCCCCTTGTAATTTCATATGAACTTAAGGTTCAGCTTTTCCATTTGTGCAAAAAAAATTGGAGTCTTGATAGAGATTTCATTGAAACTGTAGATTACCTTTGGTACTACTGATTTATTGATAATATTATGTCTTCTTACCTCATTAACATGGGATTGTTTCCATTTTAAGGTCTTCTCTAATTTCTTTCGGCAAGTCTTTGTAGTTTGCAATGTACAAGTCTTTCACCTCCTACGTTAAATTTATTTCTAAGTATTTTCTTCTTTTAGAAGATGTTGCAAAGGTAGTAACTTTATTAATTTCCTTTTCAGATTGTTCATTGCAGGTATATAAAAAGACAACTAATTTTTGTGTTTATCTTGTACCCTGCAAGTTTGTTGAATTCATTTATTAGCTCTACTAGCTTTCTTGAGGGTTCTTTGGAATTTTCTATACATAGGATCATGTCGTCTACCAATAGAGGTAGATTTACTTTTTCCTTTTCCATTTGGGTGAATTTTATTTCTCTTTCTTGACTAATTGCTCTAACAAGATTCTCTAGAACAATGTTGAATAGCATCAATCAAAGCAGGCATCCTTGTCTTGTTCCTGATTTTGTGTGTAAGTTTTCATTCTTTCATCACTGAGTATGATGTTAGCTGTGGCTTTTTTCTTAAATACTCTTTAATATATTAAGTTCCCTTTTATTCCTAGTAATCTTATTATTCTTCTCATGAAGAGTGTTCAATTTTATAAAATGCCTCCTCTGTGCCAGTTGACGTATTATGGGTTATTTCCTTCATTGTATTAAAGTAGTATATTACATTGATCAATCTTCTTATGACGAACCACCTTTGTATTCCTGAGGTAAATCCCACTCTTGATCATATATTATTATTTTAATAGGCAGTTGGATTCAGAGTGCTAGTATTTTGTTGAAGATTTGGGAATCTATATTTATAAGGATACTACTCTGTTTTTTTCTTTTCTTGTGAGGTCATTATCTGGCTTTGGTATCAGAGTAACACTGGTCTCATAGAATGACTTAGGAAGCTTTCTTTCTCTTCTGTTTTATGGAAGAGTTCAAGAAGGATTGTTGGGGTTGGCCCTGTGGCTGAGTAGTTAAGTTTGTGTGCTCTGCTTCTGTGGCCTGGTGTTTGCCGGTTTGGATCCTGGGTCTGGACCTATGCGCTATTCATCAAGCCATGCTGTGGTAGCATCCTGCATAGAAGAACTGGAATGACTTACAACTAGGGTACACAACAATGTAGTGGGGCTTTGAGGAGGAAAAAAAAAGAGAGGAAGATTGGCAACAGGGTTTATTTAGCTCAGGGCCAATCTTCCTCAGAAGAAGGAGAAGGAGAAGGAGGAGGAGGAGGAGGAGGAGGAGGAGGAGGAGGAGGAGGAGGAGAAGAAGAAGAAGAAGAAGAAGAAGAAGAAGAAGAAGAAGAAGAAGAAGAAGAAGAAGAAGAAGAAGAAGAAGAAGAAAGAAGAAGAAGGAGAAGGAGAAGGAGAAGGAAGAAAGGAGAAGGAGAAGGAAGAAAGGAGAAGGAGAAGGAGAAGGAAGAAAGGAGAAGGAGAAGGAGAAGGAAGAAAGGAGAAGGAGAAGGAAGAAAGGAGAAGGAGAAGGAAGAAAGGAGAAGGAGAAGGAAGAAAGGAGAAGGAGGAGGAGGAGGAGGAGGAGGAGGAGAAGGAGGAGAAGGAGGAGAAGGAGGAGAAGGAGGAGAAGGAGGAGAAGGAGGAGAAGAAGGAGAAGAAGGAGAAGAAGGAGAAGAAGGAGAAATTGGTGTTAGTACTTCAAATGTTTTGTAGAATTCACCAGTAAATATATCTGGTCCTAGACATTTCTTTGGGAGTTTTTTAAAATTACTAATTCAATCTCTACTTGTTTTAGTTCTGTTGAGATTATCTACTTCTCGTGGATTCATTTTAGGTAACTCAAGTGTGTCTAAGAATTTTTCCATTTCATCTAGGTACCCAATGTGTTAGCATACAATTATCTAAGTACTCCATCATAACATTTTTTTATTATTTAGTGTTTGTAGTAATGTCCCCACTTTCATTTCTGGTTTTGGTTATTTGTGCCTTCTCTCTCTCTCTCTTTTTTGGTACTCTAGCTAAAGATATCTGTTCTGCCGATCCTTTCAAAGAACCAATTATTTACTTCATTGAATCTATTATTTTCCTATTTTTTATTTATCTCCCCTCTAATTTTATTATTGCCTTGCTTCTTCTGGCTTTGGAGTTAGTTTTTCTTTTCTATCTCCTTAAGGTGTAAAATTAGGTTATTGCTTTTATATCTTTCTTCTCTTTTTCACGTATTTTTAATTTTTCAGTTTTATTGAGGTATGATTGACAAATAAAAATTATATATATTAAGGTGTACAAGGTGATGTTTTGATGTATGTATATTGTACAGTGATCATCACAACTAAGCTAAATAATATATCCATCTTCTCACAGAATTACCATTTTGTGTCTGAAGAGAATGCTTAAGATCTACCCTTTTTGCAAATTTTGAGTATACAATACAGTATTGTTCACTATATTCACCATGCCATGGATTATAACTCCAGGACTTATTTATTCTGCAAAACTGAAACTTTGTACCCTTGACCAACATCTCCCCATTTCTCCCACCCCCAAAATCTTGGCAACCACCACTCTGCACTATGCTTCTCTGATTTGACTATTTTAGATTCCACATTTAAGTGAAGACATGCAGTATTTGTCTTGTGTCTGGCTAATTTCATTTAGGACAATAAACTCCAGGTTCATTCATATTGTTGCAAATGACAGGATTTCCCTCCATTTTAAGGCAGAATAATATTCCACTGAATATAAATACCACATTTTGTTTATCTAGTCATCTGTCAATGGACCTTTAGGTTGTTTCCATGTGTTGAGTATGGGAGGACAGATTTGAGATAGTTATTTCGTTTTCTTTGAATATATAGCCATAAGTGGGACTGATGGTTCATATGTCGTTCTATTTTTAATTTCTTGAGGGAACTCCAAAGTGTTTTCCATAATGGCTGTACCAATTTACATTCACAACAAGAGTGTGCGAGGATTCCCTGTTCTCCACAGCGTCACCAACACTTTTCTTTTATCTCTTTGATAACAGCCATTGTAACAGGAATTAGGTGATATCTCATTGTGGTTTTGATTTGCATTTCCCTGATGATTAATGATGTCAAGAATCTTTGCATATATCTGTCGACCTTTTGTAGTTCTCCTTTTGAGAAATGTCTATGCGCGTCCTTTGACCATTTTTGATAGGGGTATTTATTTGTTTTTTTCGCTATTAAGTTATTAAAGTTCTTTACATATTTTAGATATTCACCGCTTATCAAATATACAGTTTGCAGAAATTTTCTCCCATTGCTTAAGTTGTTTTTTCACTCTGTCGATTGTTTCTGTTGCTGTGCAGAAGCTTTTTAGTTTGACATAATCCTACTTGTCTACTTTTGCTTTTTTTGCCTGGGCTTTTGAGGTCATATCCAAAAAATCATGCCAAGACCAATGTCAAGAAGCTTTTTGCCTATGTTTTCTTGTAGAAGTTTTACTGCTTCAGGTCTTACATTTAAGTCTTTAATCCATTTACAGTTTATATTTGCATATGGTGTGAGATAAGGATCCAATTTCATTCTTCTATTTATGCGTATCCAATTCTACCAACACGATTTGTTGAAGACACTATCCTTCCCCCATTGTGTGTTCTCAGCACCCACATACACATAACAGTTTAAAGTAAATGCATGGATTTATTGCTAGGCTGTCAATTTTGTACCATTGTTCTATATTTCTGTTTTTATGCCAGTCACATACTATTGTGATTACTGTAGCTCTGTAATCTATTTTGAAATCAGAGGCATGATGGCTGCAGATTTGTTCTTCTTTCTCAAGATTGCTTTGGCTGTTCAGAGTCTTTCATGATTCCACATGAACTTTAGTATTTTTTTCTATTTCTGTAAAGCAAGTCATTGGATTTTTATAGACTGCATTTAATCTGTAGATGACTTTGGGTAATACGGACATTTTAATGGTATTAATTCATCTAATCCATGAATACAGGATATCATTCTACTTATTTGTGTCTTCTTTAATTTCCTTCACCAGTGTTTTATAATTGTCAGTGTACAAGTCTTTCACCTCTTTGGTCCAGTTTATTCCTAAATTGTTCTTTGTTGCTATGGTAAATGGGACTTTTCCCCCTTAATATCCTTTTAGGATAGTTCACTGTGTGTAGAAATACCACTGATTTTTGTGTGTTGATTTTGTATCCTACATATTTACTGAATTCATTTGTTAGTTCAAAATCTTTTTTGGTTGAGTTTTTAGGGTTTCCTAGATATATGATCATGTCATGAGCAAGAAGAGATAATTTATTTCTTCCTTTCCAATTTGGATGCCTTTTATTTCTTTTTCTTGCCTGATTGCTCTGGATAGGACTTCCAGTATGATGTTGAATATAAGTGGTGAAAGTGGGCATCCTTGCCTTGTATTGGATCTTAGAGGAAAAGCTTTCAGTTTTTCACATTGAGTATGTTAGCTGTGGGCTTTTCAAGTATGATCTTTATTGTCTTGAGGTAAGTTCTTGTATGTCTATTTTTTTGAGAATTTTTATCATGCATGGATGTTGAATTTTGTCAAGTGTTTTTTCAACATCCATTGATATGATCATGTGGTTCTCATCTTTCATTCTCATAATGTGGTGTATCACATTAAATGATTTACATATTTTGAACCATCATTGCATCCCTGGGATAAACCCCACTTGATCATGGTGTATAACAGTATTAATATGTTGTCAAGTTTAGTTTACTAGTATTTTATTGAGGATTCTTACGTCTATGTTCATCAGTGATATTGGCCTGTAGCTTTTTTATTCTTGTAGTGTCATTGGCTATGGTATCAGGGCGATGCTGGTCTTATAAAATGGGTTTCAAGTGTTCGCTCTTCTTCAATTTTTTGGAAGAATTTAAGAAGGATTGGTATTAATTCTACTTTGAATGTTTGGTAGAATTCCCCTAAGAACTATCTCATCCCAGATTTCTCTTTGTTGTGAGATTTTTGATTACTAATTCAAGATCCTTACTTGCTTTTGTTTGTTCGGGCTTTCTATTTTTTCTTGATTCTGTTTGGGTAGGTTGTGTGTTTTTA